ACGCATTTTGACTTTTAACATATGTTTGGTGATGAGTCTGATCACCGACAGTACGCTGGCCTACTTGTTACGTTGCCACAGTAACGATGAGTTTTTGAAAATTTAACCGAGAAACTTAATATGTAGGCCTAATCTAATTATATAGTACTAACAGTACACTGGTCTACTTATTACGTTGCCACCGTAACGTTGCTGATGTTTTTGTTTTTGTTTTTTTGTTTTTTATATTTAACCGATAAAATTAATTATTCTGTAAACTAATTAGATCAGTGGTCGGCAAACTCATTAGTCAAAAGAGCCAAAATTCAGCAGCAGGGCGATTAAATAATTTTTGAGAGCAAAATTTCTTTTCAAGAACCTGTCAATGAAACTTGTTTTTCGGAGTCAAAACCAATTTCTGGCACACTGGCCGAGCCGCACTCAGGTCGCTAAAAAGCCGCGATTTGCCGACCACTGAAATAGATCTATATCATTTAAAAATGATCGAAACACTTTGAGATTTCCTATGATATGTGTGGCCTGAGTTACAGAGACCCTTTGAGAGGTCCTATGTCATGTGCAGCCTGTGTTACCGTGAACATATTATGTCTTTTAAACAATCGCCCACCATTAAGATTATGCAAACACGTTTACTAGATCGATGAAACTGAGCCAGCATTTTGAGGACCTTTCAAAGCAAAATGCAACATCACTCCACCATGTATGTAACAATTGCAAACTACTGACAGTCACAGACAGGATGTCTCGCTGTGACAGATGAAACCTTGCAGAACTGTACCCCCCTCTCTACTCTATGCAGTCTTTATCATCAAGCCGGCTTCCCTCCCACCCCTTCCCCTGTCCAAAAAAGAACCCCAATCTGCTAACAGTGGTGATGAAATGGGAGAGGGGGTCGGGTAAGTCAATAGGAACCCCCCTGGTAAATGTTTCCTGTAAGAAAATGTGTATGAAGGTTATGCCCTTTTCCACAATCTGCTCCCATCTCGCAATCTCTACCTGTCCTTCTTTGCGGGCAGGCAGACTCGTCCCAACATTTCAATGCTCTAGATTTGTACAAGACAGTTTTGACCCTGGCGAATCTAGAGCTTGTCATATCAAATGGCAGCGCCCCACGCAACCATACCCCCACGCCGGAACCCCCCTCCCACCGGAACCCCCCTCCCCCGGGGCTTTTCTGCTTTAATGTCTGTGCTTGATTTTTCATACTTTTTTTTTAAGAGGGTGGGAAGTGGGGGGGGGGGCGAAGGGGGGGGGAGGGGTTGGAACAAGTCTGTGAAGAGAATGCTTTTAACGAGACGTACCTGAGATCTGAATGAGATTATGGTGGGTTTTTTTTTTTTATTGATAAGCGTATAGTGAAGTTGATATTTGGCCTACAAATTAGTCACTGGGGCTAAACGTGTATATGAACGTCATTTTTCTAAAAAGCTGTTTACAACGTTTGAGGCTCCAATTACATTATTTATTTTTGTAGGTTTTATTTAAACTCAACAGTTGGGTTGTTGATTTTTTCTTCTTGTGCTTCCTGTTCAAATGTTTATATAAATATATTTTCAGTTAACGAGATTGAAACAAAAATGAAATAAACTATGAAAAACATCGAACAAAAATAGAATTGTAATTCAAAACTGTAGGAAGCAAAAAGCAATATTTAAAAAAATATTTATTAATTTTTTGTATTTTTTTTTGGATGATTTACAAGATGTAAATAAAAAAGGCCTAAAAGAAAATATTAATATTAATCATGTGTGTGTGGGGATGGCTTCAAATTTAGAATAAAAAAATAAGTGTATGTTTTGTTGATTATTGTAGCAGACTTTTACTGGATAGGGTAAAAATCAACTTCATTGGGACTCTGTTAGGAAAAAAAAGATTCCTACTTGTAAGTTATATTGATTTATTATGTTTATAATTTTAAATTGTCATTGGACCCAAGTACATTCCTTATTGTGACATAGTGACATAGCCCCCAAACCAGGGATCAAACTCTGCATTGTGCCCCCAAATCATGGGGCCTAGGATGAGAGAGAGGGGCTCTGGGCTGCAATTATTTTGGGGTGGGAGTTGGGGTCCCCTTCTTTTATTTTATCTAGCTTCTACTGTGAAGTTGTAACACAATAACATAGACATCTTTAAAACAAACACTTGAATAGTCTCAGTCATGAAGGTAATCTTCTACTGTCAAATTTTAACACAATAACGGAGAAAACAAGTTTAGCTCATGATAATGTTATTTACTTTAGAAAGTGCTTTCAAGGGGATTTCTAATGAAGTTATTTCAATAAATATTTCATTTCACAAATATCAATAGACAAGTGAACAAACTTGAGCAACTTGACATTAAAATTTTATTTATTTATGAAAGACTTTGGTACATTAGCACTCAACAAACATATCAACATAATATACATATGGTGTGTTAAAACAACATCACTTTATACAGAAAATAATTGTGTGGCCACAGAGAAAAATCTTCTTCTTCTATATCTTAAGGGCCCACGATCTGCATTGATCATTCTGGCTCCTATTTATGTAGAGGGGATTCATGATGTTTCTGTGCATGGTATTGAGATAGGGGTTCAATGAAACCCTTCACCGACAATTCTCAAGCCAAAATTTTTTAACATTCTTGTAATCAAAAGCATGTGCTCTTTGAAGGCCATATTCTCAGCTTTACAGCTTCATTTATCAAGTCGCACAGCCACAGGTAACAACTAAATGTTACCAGAAAATCAACAAGAGTTCTTGTTAAATGACAATTCCACAACTTGGTGGCCGCAAGGTGCAAGGAAACAGCACATTAAAATGCATCTGTTTCCTTTATGTTGCTTTCATTTTCCTGAAAAATTGCTTTGCTTTAACAATACTTGAGATGCAAGAAAGAAGTTGAATGTTAGAAATCATAAATACACAGAAAGTGTGGAACAATGCCATGGATAATAATGTCATCAGATGGTGTGTAGAAATGGGGGAGGGAGGGGGGGAGGGGGAAATAGTGAGGTTGTAAGCTCCCAATGACATTCCTTTGATCTGACAAGTGATACAGTTATTTATCTTTTAAGGGCACAGAAGGCAGGTAATGATCACACTATGTTAAGGCAAGTAATGACCACACTATGTTAAACAAAGCACAATTAAATTCTGGCATAAGAAATAAAAATCAGTAAGATTAATTTTGGAATCAGACATTTACAAAAAGGGGGTGAAGCAAACGGCAACTGTATATTTTTTTCTTTAAACTAGCTTTACAATTGACAAAAACAAGAATAATGAGCATCTCCTCACTTTCTCATGCAACACATCATTACAGCTTTACTCAGAAAATGGATGAGCTATCAAAGTAATGATGATTTCCAGTTTAAAGATAAACTTCACTTTAAATGAAGCATTCCTTTCACCATTGGGAGAAATAATACTTTGACCCAAATCAAATGCTTTGTTTGCACCTAAAATACACTGACAGTTTAACTCCTTTTACCCTTTCAACAAATTGCATTGCTACAAAAAAAATACCATGAAATATTGAAAAATTATTTGGAACTAGTTATACATTCCTTTTTCTCTCTCCTTCATTTTGTCAAATAAATACTGAGGACTTTAAAGTAACCCTGCATCTTCCTGTGATGTAAACGTAAGAGACACAACATTATCGATAAGCCCACACTAAATCATCAGATATATAAAATAAAAAAGCTTCTATTCAATAAATGAAAGATTCCTAAATGAAAAAATGTTTTAGCTTACAGTACGTATGTTAGTTTTAAATCCATAAAAAGGCATTTATTGTAAGAAGATTGTAGACAAAAGGAGAGTTTGACAGGGCGGCTTTGACCTGGACATTTTTTTTTTAGCAGAAATCTGTTCTTGCATTGATGAGCTGGATTGATGCCAAGAAATTTCAAAGAATGTTCAATCTTTGAGCAATCTTTGCATTCCCCTCATAATAGACGGCAGACTTGTGCTGTTGAGGTGCCACCTGAGGAATAAATAACCCTGCTGATACATTGTTTAGAGAAATTTTTAAAAGTTTAAGTTATATAATAGTTTCACAGAGTTTTTGGTGATCTTCACACATACACATATATGCTGAGAAGTGTAAAATTTATTAAATAGGGCCATCAGTCTTTACCCCTGGTTCCCAAAAGTGTGCACAGTGGGGCCTTGGGGAGCAGTGGCTTTCACACAGGGACCACAAATATTTATAAATTTTCATCATTTTATTTCCATTTTATCATTTCAATGTAATATTATGGGACATCTAGCCCAGGGGTTGACAACCTATTGTCCCTATGTGGTCCCTTTCTGTCTTCTGTTATTTACTTACTTAGCTGTATAAATGTCTGGTTTAGGGCTCAGAATGGTGGACGCAGAACTGCAGGAAAATAAAAGGGAGGTCATTCATGTGCTGATGTAAAATAAATGTTTGAGATTTCTTAAACATTTGTGTTGAGTAAAAGTTCATATAATAGTATAATGCTCTTTAACATTTGTGTTGAGTAAAAGATCATATAATAGTATAATGCTCTTTAACATTTGTGTTGAGTAAAAGATCATATAATAGTATAATGCTCTTTAACATTTGTGTTGAGTAAAAGATCATATAATAGTATAATGCTCTTTAACATTTGCGTTGAGTAAAAGATCATATAATAATATAATGCTCTTTAACATTTGTGTTGAGTAAAAGATCATATTATAGTATAATGTTAAAGCAAAAAACTCAAATATAATAGAAATTATGGATAAAAACACAAGATGACAATGTTGATAACAACACAAGATAATATCGTGGATAATAGTACAAAATAACAGTGCCGATAACATCACAAGATAAACAATATGCTTGTCAAAATAATGAAGATCATCAACAACAAAAAAACAATTGTTTAAGAGTTGGTTCACCTTGTAAATTCTATCCACACCAAACATCTTAAACACTAATATTACCCACAAAAATGAAGGAATTACTTTTTGTTTTTTTAAATTAACAGTGTCACAGCTTACTCTGGATTTTTCAGTAAAGCAATCAAAGATGTGGCTCTCTGTGTGAGAAACTCTCTGGTAAAGGTGTTGAGCAGGATCAGGTTCTGTTGCTTGGCCACTTTAGTGAGGCAGAGAATGGCTCTTGGGATAAGGTCATGGCTCCTTGATGCAAGCTAGTCAGAAAATCATATAACATGGTATTTTAACATTGTAAATACTAAATTGGAACATTTTCAATAAATAAAAATTATCCATACTAGGATAAATTAAAATAATGAGCTGTTATTGGCTATTTAAGTTCACTAAACTGAATCTATATTAATTAATTGGGGGATTAAAATGAGGAGTTGTTTAAATTTTTTTTGTTGTTGTTTCTTTTTAAAACATAATTAACCCTTTACAGTCCAAGCCTATTCAGCCTTTTCTACTCCCAGCCCCAAGGCAAGGGGACATAACTCCATTTTAAATGAAGGTTCTTTATCTAATTAATATGTATCAACCATTTTAAATTTTTACATTTCATTAAATTTGATAAAACCATTCATTAGCTTTGACTAAACCATTCGTTAACTTTGACCAAACCATTCAGTAACTTTGACTAAACCATTCAGTAACTTTGACTAAACCATTCAGTAACTGCAGTTGCAAACCTTAGCCAGAGCTGACATCAACACAGAAACAACTTTTGGAATGCCAACGTCATGGTCAGTTGAGCAGAGTTGAGCCAAAAGTTCATAAGTGATGACCTCTAGACATTCATAATACTTGCCAATTACATCAGACGTGCAGTCTGAACAATAAGACTGAGCGCTGTACTCTCCCACAGCAAAAATCTGTCAACAATCAAATTTTGTTGAGATGTACCAAAAGTGTAAGCACAGATTAGCTTAACTACAAGTTATTTCAAAACCAGATTTTTAAAAATCTAAATAAATAGAAACAAGTAAAATAAAAAACATAATAAACAATAGTTAAATACATTACTAGAGTTGTCCTAATTTTAACTAGAGTTGTCCTAATCTTTCTAGGGTAATCACATTTAAAAAAAATATATTTGATTGATCAATAATCAACTTGTTATATCTCTTATTCTGTGCTATGGAACATACATTTGATACACAGCTTAGGTCCAAGGATGTTTTAATCTATTAAGATTTAGTGGATCATCTTTTGTCAATACATGCCATATCTTCCTGATGGAAGCAACAAAAATATATATACCCAAACTTTCATTTTTTACTGGAAGCTGCAATCGAACATCTTTTAAAGGTCAAGAGAAAAGTTCTGAAGTGTCTAGTAGTTTGCAGATTTGCATCCTTGGAGCCATTACCAAAACTTAAGTACTCGCATTTCTTGTATTTCATTAGACTATGAGCCAATGCCAAAACTTAGGTGTTTAAGTGTCTTGTATTTTGTTTATGGGCCAACTTTGAGCCAATGCCAAAACTGAAGTGCTCAAGTGCCTTTTACATGCCAAAATTAAGTTTTCTTGCAAGGATAAACGTTACTTTATTTAAATTTTTTTCTGACTATAAACAGAAAAATTAAGGGACAAGGATTCATTTTTGACATTTTTTTATAAATGTTTCACTGATCATCATATCAAATTTATCAATGGGTAGAACGGATATTCTGAAATTCATTATTATCTGATAACAGTATTGAACTCTGCATCTAGTAGTATTAGTAGCTCAGCTCACCAGGTTTGTATAAATTTCTAACCTCCCAGCCATGTTGGCAGTTGTCTGCAGAAATTCTGTTATGTCAGATTTTTGTAGTGTAACAATATCAGGAAATGCCTTGCAGAGATTTAACAATTCCTTGGCGAATATTCTGAAAGCAAAAACATAAATAGATCAGCCACACTTTAATTTAGAATAACATAATTTGTTTACAAACAGAATGATCCCTCAATTTTTGTTATAAAAATTAACAAAGTTTTACATTCAATGAATCATGTTGTGAACAGGATTATAGCTTGAGTCTTGCTGTGGTGGCTTAGTTACATTATTAAAAAAAAAAGTGATGAAGTTCATCTTAATTATTGAATTAAAAAATACAAGGAAAAGAAAGCAAGTTTCATTTTTCATAGCTTGCCCAAAATCAATCACAGCCAATTAAGTATAAACGTAAGAATAAACGAGAGATGGCTTGACCTACTTGTGGACATCTTGAATGAGTTCTGGAACACCGTACAAAATCCCAGAACGATCTATGATGACAGGGATGAGCAGTGCGATGTAAGAAGAATCGTTGCTGGCTCTCACCGTCTCAAACCAAATTCTTTGGTGGAGAGAATTTTATATGGGTTAACATCAGGATCAGTTAATTTATCAAGCCAAAAACTCAAACATCTTTGCTGGAAAAGGCAATGATGGAAAACGTGTTACTATAATAAAATGACATGAGAGGCTCATTTTAATCACATAAAAAGCCACTCATGACTTTTTCTATTACAAGAATGCCAAAACTCTTCTCTCCTTTTTAATGCAAAAAAAACACACAAAACAATTTCATTGGTAAAATTATATATCGCCTTATTGAGGTGGGTGTATCAGGAAGATGGCTGAGATTCTGTGAATGCACTAAACATTACAAAGTTCAGCTATTGGGTTTAAAAGATATCTTATGAAGCATCCATGGTTGTAAAAACAAGACTACTTTCTGCTGACTGGTTATCACCCTAAACATAGGCAGACTCCCAATAATTTTAACAAATTATTACAAAAATTAACATTGCACGTCTTTAGTGATTCAACAGTCACCATTTTTTTTCTTAGCTGTTGTAAAAAGTGGCTCCTTAATAAAGTGAAATTGGTTTTTTAAAATGAATCATTTGCACCAACACAGACCTGGTTACCCTTGAACTCCTAAAATCATACATTATTTTCTCAAAATCATACAATACAGTATCTTAATAGTAAATAAAAAAACATAAAGTATATATAAGGTATACAATAATACGCGTCTAGTGGGATCAAGTCAAGCTGACGTAAAAATAGTCAAATTCCAGGTACGCTAACATGATGTTCCTTACTTTTAAAGTTGTTGTAAGAAAAAAAAAAACGTTCTGGACTCACTTGAGTAGAACAGGCACAAGCTGACAACAGACCATCACCCTGGTGCTACTCATGCAATCTTTCAGCACAGAATGAAGTGAAGTCAACCTGGAGAAATTTAGACACATCAAAGAGTATTGGGATTGATTAAATTATTTTCATGTTTGATTAAGCTTACGATAAAATGTTTTAAGCCCACATCCTGGGACAAATGCTAAAATGAATAGGTTTACTTAAAACTACAATTAAACAAATCCCCAAACATGGACAAAAAATTTGAAGAAATACAATTATGACAGTAAATTAAAGAGTTCTTTCAACATTCAATTTTAACATTTCCTTACATTTACATATGGGCCAAATCATCTTTTGGGTTTTTTTAAAAAAGTTTTTGTTTGTTTATTTACTAAATGGTTCGTGTCAAGAGAATTGTGTCAGAAACCTGTCAATCGTATCTCCTTGATGACTTTCACATCTGGTAATATAGTTGAACAGTGGTCTGAAACGAGGGCTGTTGAACGCTTCCAATGAAGTACTGGGATCAACATCCATGGACACACTCAGAGATGAGTCCAATTTTTTGGACCTCTCCATCACCTCCAGTGCAGCTGTCATGCATGGCAGGTCCAGCAGCAGGTGAAATATCTGGCCAAGGAAATGGATAATCCAGTTATAAATCTTTTTACACACTTTGCATAGAATTAATTTAATAAGAAAACCCAGACCAAACATGGGAAGAGAAGCACTGGTATGGAACTTCAAGGATCAAGAAGACACAAAACACCTGGCAAAGAGTGGTCGTCGGGGATGTAATAAATATCAGAAAGAGTTAGAGACCCGAAAGTTTGGATATAAATTGTGAATGGCCACTTGAAAGTTGAAAAGGCAAATCAGAAGCAAAAGATACTATCGTTGCATTATTTATTCAAGCATGCACTGGCTGATTGGTACTACTTTTATTTTAAGCCGATGAAGCTACACTCCTTTTTTTTTTTTTGTTTCGGAAATCTTACCTCAACAGAAGTCTCCCAGTTCATCATTGCAGGTAGGAAGAAAGCAAACTCATTCATGAATATTCTTGGATGCCATGCTAGAATCTACCATCCACAGAAATAATTCAAGTTATACTTCATCAAGCAGAATATGTTTCTTTGCTATCTTCAGAGGCCCAAACTTTCATTAGATACAATTGTTTTTAAGGTGGTAAATATTTATTGCTCAAATTTCATCAGTCTTATTTTCATTTGCAAATTCAAAACAAAAAAATTTGAAAAAATAAAAAAATTGAGAAACGTTTCATTTTAACAATGTATTAACACTGAAATGTGTGCCTTGATTGTTCAGTAGATGAATATGTCCCTTGAAAACAAGCTCTAATGCATTTTTTTGCTTCAAAATTTAATATAAGAACCTGTCCTATTTTCTGAGATACACATGGTAAAAAAATAATTAACATAGTGTTGTAGTAGTTTGTTTATAAAACACATTCAATTTAGTTTTCATGTGATTTAAATAAAAGACATGAAACTCACTTTAATTAAAATTGATTGATTTTATGGGTACAATCATAATAGACATACTTTGAATAAATTGGGGAAAAAATCTGTTAGCGTATCTGTAGTTTCAGCAAGTTGTGCCAAATTGTTGTAGATAAAGTCCACGGTGTCGTACATGAGGCCCTGGTCTTTAAACTGGCTTGAAATCACCGCTATGAAATAGTGTCGGAATGTTTCTTGTGGATCGTGCACAACAGATGAGCCTGGGCAGCAGAGTTTACAAGATCATGAATCAGTGTTAGCAGGTGGCTGCCATGGTAAGCATCCCTTGTTTGGAAATGAAACACCAGAAAGCCTACAATCTGTATGTTGCAATGAGCAGCACCATGTGCTTAATTTATGCTACTTATCCGTGTGTCAGTACTTAGTTTGACTGCGAAATATGAAAGGAGATGAACTTTCCCTTGTACACAGTACCAATTCCCAGGTACACAGTACCAATTCCCTGGTACACAGTGCACATTCCCCCCTGGTACACAGTACCAGTTTTAGAAGTCAACAAACCCAATTCTTTTTTTAAAAACTAGGCAGAATAGTGCAATTCTTGTTTTGTAAGAAGACTATAGCTTATAATTGTGTTTTCAGGAATATTTACTAGACGTAAACTTACTATGATGGAAGAAAAACTTTAAAATGTATATGAGGGCTGGCGAGGCAGGATTCTCTTGGGTAATACGTGTGTTCAATCTCTTCACTTCCTGGAAAATCCTTGCAGTCTGGTCATTATCCAGGGAACAGATCACATTCAAAACTTGAACTGATTCTATCAGACACTGTGAAAAATGAAAGTCAATTTGAGCATTCAATTTATAATGATTATCTTTGAAAAGGGTCTCCTAACAAAGTAAGTCAAAAATGTTAAGAACTTTACATTTCACATTTCAGTTGATACAAACAAAACATGATCCTGGATCCTAATATGATGTCCTTATAAAAGAACCACTTTACTTTACTAAGTGGAGTCGTTAATTCACAACCACCACCACCACCACCACCAACCCCCGACCCTCATTGAAAACAATAAAGCCAATTTTCTAAAGCAAGGACTTTCTTTAAATCAGGGGTGGCCCAAGTGCAAAACGTGGGCTACAAGCTGCCCACCATGTCAAATATTGTGGCCTGCGTATACTTAATTTAGCACTAATAAACACATTCATTCTTCCTTCAGTTAACAAAGAAATTGATTTTAAAAAGTTAAGTGAGAGAAGATAAAATGACATCCCCTAAGTTTAGTCTTATTCTGTTTAGTTATTTAGCATTTCATTATGTGACTTAAGAAAAGCTAAATATTTTTTTCCCGAATTTAATGGGGTTATTTTTTATTTCTTTAAATATAAGGTGTGATGACATGGGACCTGCGAACGGTTTGCTCGCTATCAAAGTGGCCCGTGAGGCCTTTTGGTTTGGCCTCCCCTGCTTTAAATTATCAATTTCAAAGGAATATTAAATAAACTCACAGCAGTCTGAAGTTCTGTATCTGTCAGGGCTTTGGCCTCTGTTGGAAAGATGTAACTATCAAATGCATGAAGTTTATCCCCATCACCCAGAGAAATACAGGGTTTAGCAGACTTAGAAAGGATGGACATATTTCACAGCTGCAGTTTTAGGGTAGATAACAAAATCTCAATTCATGTAAAGACTATGATGCCTAATTAAATCAGTAGGTCATGTTTAGTCAACAAACATAAGCCAAAGCCTAATTAAATATGTAGGTCATGTTTAGTCAAGAAACATTAGCCAATGTCTGATTAAATATGTATGTCATGTTAAGTCAAGACATTAGCCAGTGCCTAATTAAATCAGTAGGTCATGTTTAGTCAAGACACATAACCCAATGCCTAATTTAATCAGTAGGTCATGTTTACTCAAGACACATAAGCCAAAGCCTAATTTAATCAGTTAGTCAAGACACTTAAGCCAATGCTTAATCAGCCTGTCATCCAGAGATTGACGACTGATAAATTAATATTATTTAATTGTTGTCAATTGTTTTTCATCAAGTTATTTTTACTTTACTTTCAGCTTTGCTGAAGATGTTAGTCCATATGATGATTCAACATTATGGAGAAGAGCAAAGGAAGCAAAAAAAAATTTTTTACTGTCAATTTTTACATTCAATCCTTTTCACTTAAAGCTTTTTAAATCAAAAGAGGTGTAACTCAGTAGTTTATCATATCCATACAAGTAAAACACTCACTTCTTTCACACTGTTCTATTACTCTTAGGCAGTAGTCCACAGCCTTGGGTATCAGGGATCCAAAAGCATGTTTAAACACTGCCACCTGTTGATCATCTGAGGCTTCTGTCTGTTCAGCTGAGAACAACACTGTCTTGGAGACTCCAAGCAGCCACTTGAACAGCACAGAAAAACTGAAAACATTCATGAACTGATCTTCTGTGTAGTACTGACCTGTCACAGATGAAGTTTAAACTTTTTTAACCGATGATGCCCAAAAAAATCAAAAATGAACAAAATGTAAATTACACGTTTTAAGGCGGTTAAATTAAAGAGTTACGGGTATTTAAAAACTTAAAATTCCCGCTCCTGCTAAGAGCAGATGAAGGGCCCACATCTTACCTACACTAAGGGCTGTGAATATACTGGTGTTGGCTGTTCCGTCAATTTCAGTCACTGCATTCTCCACATCTTTGCGGAATCGGTTTATTGCATACGGATTGGGTGCCTGAAGTAAATTTGCATTGCTAAGCCACTGTGCCATCTTTTCATTGACATCTGTCATTAAGTTTATGTCAAACATGTCGCCATGTAACTGTAAGACAGCTGAAACAAACAGTAAACCTGACTTTTGCTTCTCAAAGTCTTGGGACTGAAGCCACCTAAAGAAAAATAAATGAAAAAAAAAATTCTAATTAAGCCCTAGAGCCAACACTTGCAAAATCTTTTTTTTTTTTTAAAAAGTCCTTCAATAAAAACCCTTCAAAGAAGAAGTGTGCAATGCTTCTTATTTTCCTTCACTAATAATTATGGCCATTGAGCATTTCAATTTTCGTATATTTATTTCATTAAGACTTAACAGGCTTTCAAAGTTTAACTTTTCTGTATTCTGTTTGGTGAATCCAAGTTAACTTACCTAACACCATTTGGAAGGGCCTCCTTGACACAATGTGAACATATGTCCTGCAATCACAAGAATACTTTTGCATTACTTTGTTGTTTTGTTTAAATGAGTTGTTGAAATAGAATCTTTGGTTTATTCAGCTCCATTAATTAACTTCAATACATGCTTGTTCACTTTCTTAAATAAAAACAAACAAATTTTATTTTTAACTTAGAATTAAGACACGAATATGCGCTGTTAATCAAATAGCTAAGCTAGCTGTGAGAATTTAAGCACCAATTTATTTTCCATGCTGAGAAGTTGCTTGTTACTAATTATTGGCTGATAAAATGTCCCAAAATTATGAGAGGGAGGAATCTTTTTTTAAAAACCATTCCAGATTTTAAATTAAATGAACACATTTCAGTGTCAAATTGGAAAGTAAATTTAGAAAAAGATATGTGTCACAGAACGGTTGTTGCGGAGGAGGGCTCCGATCCTGACTTATCACAAACTGTATTGACTTAGTAGTGGTTAGTACAGGACCGCTCCTCTCTGTGATTATATTTCGGGTGTCTAGGCGTTGGGACAGACACAAAGCACAACGTTAACTTTAATGAAATCCAAACGACTCAAAGTCCAGATGATATAATGCATTTATTTCCTGATGTCATGGCAATGGCCTTGAATTACCATTTAATGGCTTCCCAATCTAAACAATCAATTATAAAAGTCTTTGTGTCTGCCAATCAGAACACTTTGAAAACTGTTAACATTTAACTACTTGCCTATCCCCAAGGTCTATTCTTGATTTACAGCTATTAATACTAAGTCTGTCACTCCAGGATGATCATCCAGGAATCTATAACATTTTCAAACCCAACATCATATCCTTCCCCCCCCCCCACCCCAAAATGTCCCTTAGCTCATTCAAGATCCAGCTAAAGTGGTGTGACACACGGGGAAAACCGGAACAAAACAGCACTATTGCTCACTGATAACTATTGAGCTCTGTCCTAGGCCCCCCCTCCCCATCCCGGTCATTTGTGACAACATGACTGAGAAAATTAAGAGGACAGGTGTAATAAATAATTTAAATCTTCCAGCTGTATATATGACACCTTAACACATTCAATAAAATTTAAACCATGAAACAATTAACAAAATTATAAAACCTTACCTGCATGATGATGATTGAGCTTAAATTTATGGTCAGCCCATCTTGAGCGAGAATTTGATTCAAACACTCACTATGGCTGTCTGAGGGCAGTAACTCGTACAAGATCATATGGCACAAAATACATCTGTTTCCTGCCCCTGGACTTCTTTGTTGGCCTACCGTGTTCAGAATTTGAAGCATGTTGTTGACCAAGCCTTGGGGTATGCTAAAGATATGCATTAACAGCTTACAATAACTAATATTTGTAATGTTTAATTTCTTTCAATATCCATCAAACACACATATTTTCATGAATGATTCAGGGGAGGTATTAAAATGTAAATATGGTCTTTGAGTACTTTTTCAATTTGGCCCTTAGACTAAGAATGAAAATTGATATGATTTAAAAAATTTAAATATTATTTTTAAAAAAGACTTTCTTTTAAAGACAAGTTTAATCGTACTAAAAAGTAGAAAATAATTCAATATTCTTACAATGCATTACACAAAAAAAAGGACTGTGCAGAAGTGTAGATAAGCACTCTATATAGCCATAGGATTGGAATTGAATGAAGACAATACTTAAGTTTAAAAGGTTTTATTTTTATTAATTTTTAAAAATATATTGCTGCACAGACTTTCTTTGCGTAATGCATTTTAAGAATATTTAATTATTTTATACTGTTTAGTGTGTTAAACTCATCTTTGATATATAGCCTTCATGTAATTTTTTTATTTGCTACTTTTTAGTATTAAAATTTTAACCCTCTTGGGATGGTGCCTTTTTGGGGTGTATATGCCAAAAAGACGGAGCACTTTTTACGAGCTCGGCACTCGCAACGCACAAAAAGTTATAAAAAATAAACAATTTCTTTAATATGTATAAAACTATATATATTCTTGTAAGAAATTGAATGAACTAATACAATCTTTATGAATCAAAGCTAAATATCAACATTTATGCAAATGAGCTACCCTGATTTGCATAATTTATGCATGTAATTTTTTTTGTTAAACCTAGAATAAACATATAAACATAATTTACTTAAATCAATTGTGTGAATTTTTTGATGGATGAAGCCTGAAAAAGTCCTGACACTTATTTTTTTGGGAAACAAGGCCCATGGAGGCCCTTCAGACACCCATGGCACATGGTTCTATTGGTCTTTCTCATAAACACTTGAGTGATATTTAGTGTAAAAAATAGCATTAAGTACTCAAATGGGGTGCTTGTGCCTTATTTATAGGACCTATTTTGTCTAAAAATTCAGAGGGGTCATCTCTGTCCAGTTGAGGACCCCTAATACTAAACCAAGAGTTCACAACATTAGCATTACCCTTAATTTGAAAGTCTTCATTAATTCCCTGGTTGTTTTCATCAGTTTCAGTGTCAGATTCACTGGTAGAATATCAAAATAATTAAGGATAATTTGATCAGAGTCACTGTCAGACATTCTGAAATTTTACTATATCACTTGCCACTCACAAATAAATTCCTGAACACATCAAAAGCTAGTAAACTATCAACACAGGCCGCCATTTCAATGCCGGGATGTGCAGGGATATGTAAGAAGCAATCTGATTTGCTAGTACGAAGACAAGCCAGCAATCTCGAGTCTTGAATTATCGGGCTGATAGATCGGACATCAGTCTTTTTCACTACCACACCCTGGGCCGATAGATCGGCCCATCCGCCCTAAGAGGGTTGATCTTGATATTATTGACAAAACAGTATTTTTTATTTATGATTTTTTTAAATCCCCAAATCCTACAGTTTTCATATCAGCGTGTGTACCACCCCTTGACAGAAAGAAGTGGACAAGATTTTGACACAACTCAGTTGCAATGAGACAATCAATAACTTTCAGGTGAGCACTTCACCAGAAAACGAACAACTGAGCAAAAATGTTATGGGTGTAAACAAAAAAATTACGACAAACACGATGCAAATGCAAGTAGAAAGAAAGTCTTTAAAAATAAAAAAAGTAAGAATTATTTTTTTGATTATTAATTTATAGCATAATTTTTAGACTAAAACTTCAAACTTTCACCTGTAACCATGTTTTTTTTATATATATATATATAAAAAAGTTTCATTGATATTTTAGTTTTATTGAATATTTAAAAGAGAAAATGTCACTACAATAAGTAGACTAATAGAGTACCCATACTGTAACTTTACCATGGTTCAGAGGTAGCTTCTGATGCCTGCAGAATGACGAAGAGCTGCCGTAGCAGGCCACAGCAGTCCAATGATTTATCTGGTACAGATAGAATCTCTCTGATCTCAGTACACAAGCCATCAATTTCTTCTTGTGTGGCTTCTCTGTAACAGACACAGACACAAAATATTGTGGGGTAAGAAGAACTTGTCAATTGAATCAAATTCATTCATTAAGGATAAATTGAATAATTGAAAATAGGATACAAATGAATTCTGTTTAAAAAAACACACATTAAGCTTGTTAGTTTAGTTTTCTTTTTTAAGAGGAACCCATAGGGCCCAAATTCTACTGCTTCTCATCCATCAATTTTTACCAGCGTGTGACAAAAGTTTCATGTGTCTTGTCACCCAATAAAAGTTGTCAAGTGTTATGAATATTTACTCAAAAAATTTTAAAAAAAGGACCTTTAAAAGTTTATTAGAATTCATCTAATATTCTAATTGAATTCAATAATAATATTCTTTTTGTATCTGATGCTTATTAAAATTGTATAATAGGTTAGGGTAATACTTGAATGGTGGCCTTATATGAAGACATGACCATTTTGACAGCATGATACTGATACATTAACAATAATGACTGACAGGGACGACACTACTGGACTATATTCTACATTCATTTAGGAGAATATTCATTAGCAATGCACTGGCTTTATTTAAATGAGGTGTATAAAATTATGATGCACAGTTAACTAATCTTATCTTAACAAATCCACTTAAAAAAAACAGTGGACTATCGAGCCTAAGCTCATTATACCCTTCCCAGTGAACCCCCTTTAGCTCCAAGACAAATAATGGGACGCCAAGCATCATAACTCAAGTACTATGCCACTGAGACACCCCCTGCCTACACTCCACTTGATTGACTAGCCAGGCGGGGGCCACTGCAACCAGGGAGCATCTGGCCAGTATGGTTACATTAACATCCTAAAATCTATCCCTTCCCATTAAAGGATGGTGTGAGACAACCTCTAACAGGGTTTCTACATTTGGTTTAAATCTCATAAATAGCTCATGAAGTAGCTGGGACAAAACCATTGGCTAGGAACAGTCTCCTCACAGGTTAAAAAAAAAAGTAAGCTATAATTGTATTATTGGCATATTTCCTATTACATACAGTAAGCCAATTTATTTAATAGCAATTACAGTTTGAAGCTGCAATGGGCAATATGTTTGCCAATGGCCACATGTGACCATCAGACACAAATATGAGACCTTATAAAGTTGTCAATATAACTAATGTATTACATAGCTTCTTTTTTTACTTGAAACTTTTTCCACCTAAACTATTACAACTTTTTAAAAAATTGTGTGACTCGATTTCTTTATCGAAGTGATTATTCACAGAGCTGTGCGGATAACGCTCGCTGTTATTCACAGATTTCGGTCTGCCGATAATGCTCGACTTTATTCACAGAAAGTGATGAATTAAATTATGAATATAAAATACAAAGTTCGTATGTAAACATCTCCTCGGTAGTGTAGTGGTCAGTATCTCCGCCCGTCACCCGGCAGACATAGGTTCGATTCCCCGTCGGGGAAGCCTCATTTTTATAAATAAAATTTTTTTTAAAAATATTTAATGGTTATTTTGTAGTGTTATATTATAATAATATTCTTCATATAGCTTTCTTATTCTGTTCACATAGTTTTATTATTATTTTCATATAGTTTTGTTACTTATGTTACAAGTTTCAATCTATTTTGTTAGAATGTTCATTCAAGTTTCGTTAAAACAATGTAAACAACATGGACATGCAAATGAGCCGCATAAACCATGTTTAAGTCATATACAGCTGTTCTAACTGTACATTGTGATATACTTTTAGCTCTTTTGACTGTTTAATTTTCTTTGTATAATTCCACTCATAGACTTTAACATCCATTTGTTTTTTCTCTAATAAACAAATAATTATTAATAACTTACTTATTCAAATATTTTATATCTCAGAGTTGTGTATTAATGTTTAGCTGAAAAAATATGTCACGTTTTATTTGTTTCATTTTATTTTCTAATAAGTATCATAATAAGTAGGGACACAATATGCCGCTCCAGAAATAGTTGAAATAACATTTAGTGATGACAATGAAATGAACATACCGGTACCGTACTTAAAACATATCAATATCATTGACATCAACAATTTTAGCTCTTGTAAAAAAAATATTGATAATTGAAACAAAAAGCCATACTGCCACTGTTGTAACTATGGGTCTAAATACAAAAAAAGCATACAAAAATTAATTGGAACCCTGCTGGTCGTAGGATGCATTGCGAGTCTTTGGGAAGTAAAGTTCCCTTGGGGCAATTGAAGTTTGAGTGTATGGCCAGCGCAATAACCAGCCAGCTTTACTTTTCCCCAGCTAAGGCCAGAGCTGGGTAGACTTAGGGACACCCTCAAGGATCAGGAAAAAATACTAGCCTTAAACAGGATTAGATTCTGTTATTATCGATGTAGGGCCTATATGCCCCTCCCCGTCTCTCACATGGCCGCCTGATGGAGACACCTCTCTGCATCATAACACTGTTGCACGGCATGTCAACTATTTCTGACAGAACATTTCTGGACTACGTGATATATCATAGTGCTTTTTAAAAAAAACTAAACGATATCCTATCAAGCTTTGACATCATTTAAAGACATCTCTACAATGGGTGAAAGTGAGTCTACATGAAGAATACCGGTACCATTTTTATTACTGGTATAACATTTAATATGAAATACCAGAAAATTAGCTATGTCTAGGAGTAGGAGGTTTGACTGGATCTATTAGTAACACTCTATAGGTCGAATATGTTGGCCCCTAACAGAGCAGATGTAGGCACAATTAATTGTCCTATATCCAATATATAGGCTATAGTTAGGCCTATTAAATTTTTTAAATTTAACTTGTGCATACCGGTAGCTTCGGTTTTGAGATGTGTTTGTGCCATTCTCATTAACGATCGATCTATCCTACACTACTTAAAACTACACCCCTACCCCGGCTTGGAATGTGATCTTAATTATTTCAAGAAATGTGCGTAATTATGGGAACATTTCTGTCTAACAATAACGCTCTGCATTTTTCGCAGATTTTGGTCAACGCTCGGCGTTATTCGCAGATCTCGGTCTGCCGATAAATCTAAACATTATTCACAGAGCTGTGTGGATAACACTTCCCTTTCTTTATTGGCAAGGCCTCCTTCCTCTTTAAGTGGTGCAAACGCACGAGTGATAAAAAAAATGAGTGGATGGGAGAGAATGTGTTATTTCAACTAATTACCGAAACACAGGAAAAAAAAACCAATGAAATTAATATAATTTTTAAAAAAATTATTTCAATAAAAATATTCAAAATAAAAGAAAATTTGTACATTTTCTGTTACTCAACACTACACAGAGAACAGTACTTTCAACAGTTGTAACTAGTACATTAATAACAATTCAATATGAATTAATTTATAATATGATGATCTATTTCAATCTCAGTATTCTCAGTAATCTCAGTGAAACAGTCTTCTTCAGTCTATCTTAATCTTATGAATGTCTTAAGTCTTAGGTCTTGTCTAACTTGAGTCGAGGTGAGTCGAGGTGAGTCGTGTTGACCGAATTGCATTACACATCATAAGCCTAATGCACAGCGATAAGACATTATATAAACACAACCAATCTCGAATCGGTTTTATTGTTGACATAAAGAATGAATAATGGGGAAATTATGTATTGCTTACTTCGCTTTTTTTAAAAGTGACTCTACAAATGGTGTAGAAGCCATTTTGAAAGTAAAGAGAGCTCTTTTTTACTTTCCTTGTCAAATGAGCAGAGGACAACAGCTGATAAAATCCGGGATGACAAGGGGAAATAACACTTTTCAAATAAGTAAAATAACTAAATAACCCTTTTATTAACTTCGCTTTTTTAAAAGCAGATTTAACAAGTACGGTACTTGAGATATTTTCAAAAGTTATATTTTTTTTCAAAAACAGCAATCTTTTTACTACATAAAGGCTGACAAAAATGTATTTAAATGTATTCTGTATAACGATTAATAACCATTTAATACTTCTCTTTAGTCTTTGTTATTGAACCTCTCATCCACTACCCCACCTCCCCCGGGTCTTTTTTTCCGATTACCCCCTTGCCTTCACTTAACCTCATCCTTACCCTCTTCCCCCTTTTAACTCTTTGTAGTCTCACCATAAATTATCACCTCTGACCATTTACAATAAACATTTTCACCCTTACTTTTTTATTTTTCCTCCCATAAAAACCACTGTCCTATCCACACCTTAATTAACCCTTTACGCTCTCTCATCTCATTTTAACCGGTTCCTTCCTTAACTCCTAGGCCAACTATTACTTTTTTTTAAAAAAAAGCTACACTAAAATCTTCCTGCCTTGTTGTTTAGGGATTATGCATCGCAGATTATAAATAATATATTAGGGTATTGATTAAAATCGAGATTTGTATAATATATTCCAATCGGTAAGTAATTAAAATTATCTCTCTTGCAATAATTTAGTAAATGCATTCACTTTGTATACATACACCAAACTTATACAATTAGTTAAGATTTGCTGAATGATCAGTAAAATAAGCCTGTTTGTCATTTGACATCTCTCTTTTATATGTAAAATAGACCAGTACCTCACGAAAAGTCGCTTCTTGTATTTATTTTTTTATTTTTTTTTATTTTTTTTTGTTTTGTGCCAATTGTAATGATATGCCGTAAATAGTTTGAAACATAACTGCGATTACAGACTTATAAAGCTATTGATAAGGAGCTTCAGTCCCAAGTGGAAAAAAAAAAACGTGAACATTGGCGTAAGGTCATAACACGTCTTATCTAATGAGCAACACTCAATATTCAGCTGAAAGAAATTTGACGTTCAGAGGAACTTCAGACATATTATTTACAACAGACAATGGAAATACTTTAGGTCTTATTGAGCTACTTGGAAGATTTGATTTAACAAAGAAACTCACGTTGACTGTTGTGGAAAAAAAATGTTCAGATTGAAATAATCAAATAGTTAGCAAATGCTGTTCAGGAAAATATTATTAACGAGCTAAATCAGCTAAATATGTCAGCCTTATTTTAGACTGCACACCAGATAGT